CATAATCAGCCCTTCAAAGTTTGAAATAGGTATATTATTTTTATGTTCTCTGATTGTCTAAGAGAGGAAATACAATAGCACAGAAAACAGAAAAATGAAAGTAAACACTTTCTGAAACAAAGAGCGTGTTGCAGTTATGATACGGGTAGAGCTAGACATTTCTGCATTCTTCTGGGAAAATATTTCTCAATTTTTCAGTGCCAGATTAATTTTGTGGTTTGAACTTAAATATTGATGTATATAGTACAGTTTTATATTTCAGTTTTTGTAAATAAAAGTACAAAAGAAAGATCTATACAGAATCTAGTTCTTGCCATAGTCTTTCACTAAAGGTGCTGTGGAAGAGTTTATTTTCTCTGAAACTCTAACATATACAAATTTACTGTACTTTTCTTGTAGTAGAAGGAGAGAAAAAAACGCCAAAACATTCTTTCCCCAGGTAATTTATTGCTACTTTTAAGATTTTCTTATAGTGTGGCTCATGGGTGATGCTATTATCTTTCAGTATCAGGAGGCCAACCATGTTCTACAACTTGTCTTCTTTTCCAAGGGAGGTAATAAATGAATGGAGGCCCTTAGATGCTATGATATTATGGGATTTTTTAAGAATAAAAGTTTCCTAGAACTGTTCAACAATAGTAAGGAGTAGTGTACTGAAACTTATTAAAACTGAAGGAATTCTTATGCCTGAACCTAATGGCTACTGAAAAAAATAGATCAGAATGAAATTACACAGTAACTATTTAACAAAAATAGTGAGTCGACATAGGAGTTATTTACACATGTGTCTTTTGGATCAGGACTGACAAATTTCTTGCATATATATGTTTGTTCCTTTCTTCCATCCTATCCTTTAAGGAACACTTACACGTGCTCTTTGAACCCTTTTGCTTCATCTGTGAAACTGTCTTCTAAGATTGAGTGAACGATCACTGCTTTTTGGGGTTGAGGGAAGAACCGAAGGACTATATTTTAAGTAATGACTGTTACACAGTAGAGAACTACAAACATAGATGGCATATACCTGCAAGGTAACTGATAGGTCTTAGTTTCTGTGCTTGTAAGGCAGGGTTAAGATGACAATTCGTTGATTCGGTAAAGGCTGTACAGTAAGTCAGTATCAGAGACAGTATTTCTTTATGTAAAATCTAGAGTCATGTGTTGTTTAATAAATAGCAATAACTGATCTCAAAGCTGTCTTTGTTCTGTCCCTTTCTGAACTCCAACGTGTTTCTTCAAAGGAAGGCTTTGCCCCATTGAGCTTTTGCCAATGTCAATAGCAACTGAATCCCAACCTCACTGCATTCCTTTGCAAATGCCCCCTCAAGCCTGTCCCTCTTTTCCAGTATCTTGACAGATCTGTGTAAAAACAGTTAAAATAATACTCATCACATGCAACACTTACAAAATTGGTAAATGAATTGTTAATCTTTATTGTCATTTTCACTTAAGTAAGACTGAAATAACATGAAATGTGATATTCTATGGTCTTTTTCCACCTCTGAGTGTTCCTGTTTGTGTGTGATGGATATCTGTTATTAGCTTATTTTCACGGGACTCTTGGCACTGGGAATCAAGGGGAGGAGATGATTCTGAACAAAAGAAGATGCAACTTTACTTACATAGTTCATTTCCTTAATCCATTATGAATTAGAAGATCAGTTTACAGGCAGTGATAAATGGATCTCTAAGCACCTTCCTGGTGTGTCTGGGTTTTTTTTCTGTCTCTGGACCCGACCTTTAATCCTCATCAGTGAAGATAATAACCTTTTTTCACACCACTGCAAAGATGTTAAAACCCAGTAACACCAGTGTCAGAGCACATGGAGCAGTGCTAAGTTTCAAAATGATTAAAATAAGGGGGGGGGCAAGGAGACCCTGCCTCTCAACCCCTAATCTAAAATAAACCTTCCTGAATTTATAATGTAAACTCTAGATGGATCTTTCTTCATTAAATAGCATTGTCTTAACGAGTGATTTTACAAGTCTAAAACAGGTGCAATGTGTCATGCAATTTATGGATCCTAGTACCTGCCATAAAGTATTTTATGATGGCTGCATTCTGTGTTATTAGTAGCTGTCTTTTTCTGCAGCCATTGGTGTTTGATAATAGTCTTAAAACACCCAAAATTACTTACCTGCAAGCAACATTCCAGATAGTCCCTGTTGACAGTTTGAATAAGTTTAGTGCCCTTTTGTTGTACTTTACCTTCAAAACAAACTGATTGAACCATCAATAGCTCCTGAAAGCTGACAGAGGCATGTCATCTGGTCTAACCCTCTGATAGTAGGTTATCTGTGGGAGTTAACCTCCCTGCATTGTTAACTGAAATGTTTTATGTACTATGCAACTTTAGGATACTGCTGTGATAACCTTAGTAACTAAGTCATACATCACAGTAAAGAGATTTTGTGCAACAAATAACCCTGGATTAAATTTACAAGGGTTGAATTGATATTGTAAAGTGTTCATTCCAGGGCTTTGGTAATCCTTTCCTGTATTTTTTTATGGCAAACTTGTGTTACATTTAGATTGAAACTGCATCTTCATATTTCTACCTAAATATATCTAGCAAGTCTGATGCTTTTCTTCAGCCATTTAATAAAAAATATCCTATCACTTTCATATAGTATAGGTTGTTTTTATCCCACATTTAGTAAAAGGAATATGAATAAATGGGATTGTATTTCGAATCACCTTTTAAAAGAATTAATCACTGATATACCTTTGTTCTACTGGTGGGATTATCTTTAGGGTACTTACTTTTTAATATTTGCTCTTCTTAAGGAGTGTAAGTTTAAAAAAAAAAATCAACCCCAAACCTGTGACTTGCAGTGTAGTTTGCTGTTTAGTTTACGTGGGTAGGGTTTTTTGGTCTTGTTTTTGGAATTGCGAAGTATTCTGTTTTTTGAAGTGCAGTCAGGATGACTTAAAAATACAAAAATACATTTGTATCAAGGAATGCTATTATAATTTTAAGCTCTTTGGAAATGATTGAGAGACTGACATTAGGGCTGTGATCCAAAGTCAGCATAGATGACAGTGCTGTCTTAGTCTGTTGTCATTTTTGTTGCAGCTTGCTTTTCAATGGCATATTTCATTCCATCATTAAACATTTGCTGATTTTCTAATACCGATGTTTTCTTCACCTGAATATTCATCTTTTCTCACCCTACACTTAGTGGGTGTCTTTACTCATTTTTAGCTTCACTCTTCTTCACTCTTGACATATTGTTTCCTTCTGAACATGTCTTCATTTGAAAGAATCTGTTGTCATCAGAGCTTTTCTGCCAGTAACGCAAGATGGATAGCTTCTCCTCCACTGAAAGATAAGGGCCAGCAAAATGCCAGGGAGGACTGGAAGGGCAGCCAGGCAAGCTGGGAGGAGTCTGAGAACGAGAATGTGTCAGTCTTGTAGATCTGTAGCTGTGGTTTAATAAATGGTCTTAGGACAAGTTCTGTTTTGTAAAGTGACTCTCTCCTTTTTTTTCTGATATCATTGAAAGTCATAGGAGGATTCACATTTAAATTGTCTGACCATTTCAGTACTGAGCATTTTCAGTTCACTTGTTAGCAATTTATGAAGCCGTTGCCTCAAAGGAAAGGTGTACTTGATGGAAGGGTTTATTTGTAGCATTAAATTTTGCTTGGTTGTAGAAGCGGAGTCTTCCAGTGTTTTTCACACATTTATCTGGTCTTGAGAACAGTATTATAAGATAACTCTTACCTTTTAAAACACATTTTTTGTGTGTTCTTCCTTTTTCAAAATGTTATGTTATGTATGGTTTTCTGCTGCTTTGATTTCTTCCTCCCAGTGGCAGAAGGGGTTGGTATGATTAGGAGCCTCTGACTGACTGGAGTTTTATGCAAAGCAGCTAGGCATTATCAATCCCCTTTCTACCCCCTGCCAGGAAAAGTCTGGCACTTCCCTTGCTTTGCAAGGTCTGCTTCACATTTGGTTGACTAAATGTAAATAACATATACTTGAGGTGGTTAGATTTTTTTGATTTGCCATGGTTGTGCGCCTCACTTTGTTTCTGATCTCCCATGTTCTCTCCATCTGCAAGCAAGGAGCCAATGGTATTTTTTGGTGCTAAAAAGCTGCTGTACTTGGAGTAAAAAGGATAAATAGAATATAGTACTGATGGATCCTAACAAGAACTTTGAATTCTTAAAATATTTTTCATAAAGTAGTCTCTCCCTGTGGGCTTCTGCATTTAATCCTGAGCTGGGATCCATATGCCATAAGGTCACTTTTTCTCTCTGGCAAGACCAAATTGGAATTCTCCTTCCAAATGATGCCTTTGTCAAAATGTAGTCCTGGAAGGCAGAGATCAGGAATAACTCTCCATGCTTTCTCTGGACAAATTTTTTTTTTTTTAAATGTTGAGAGTTTTGAACACTGACATATACTCCTTTCAAGACAAAGAATGGTATCTTAGGATGTGTGATAGAATATAAATTGCACCTCTCCCTGATATGCTGTTCACATGACTCTAATGTTGCTGATCATTGTGATTTTAGGAAATTATAATAAAAATCCGAAGAAGTGTTGGCAAATGAATGTTTTCTGAAAATTCTTTCAGAGAAGATAGCTGGTGGTTTCCCATGTCTCAGATTGGTTTTCTCCTGCAGTGTGGGATGGAATCTTTGGAATCACTCAAAAGTCTTTTTTCCAAACTGTCAGTTCAAAACAATTTCTAATTTATTCTATTTCTGGGGGTACTGTATACCTCACTAATACCTATAGAGAACATACACGCCCATGGTGATAATTTTCTTATCTATTTGATAAGAATAGTATTAAATTATTATGGACAGCTACTTGAGAAAGTGAAGTATAATAACTTTTTACATAAGCTACTTTGCATGAAAGAGGTGAACAGAGAGAGGAAGCAAAGGCTGTTGCTGTTTATTGCTGTTATTTTTTTAGTCACTTAGCCTGTGAGTATGTCTTTGTTTATTACTGGATTTTAACTGTGTGCATTCTATCTCTCAGGTATTTTGTCCTGCACAAATTGACAAACCTGAAATTTCTTGATACTCGGAAAGTAACCAGAAGGGAGAGAGAAGAAGCCTTGGTAAGAGGTGCCTTCATGAAAGTGGTTAAGCCCAAGGATGCTAAGGTAGGAAAATAAATGGAAGAAGTAACAATAATGTGATTCATTAATACTGTTTTAAAATAACTCCAAAAGCTTGGCTGCATCGTTCACTAAAGTAACAGACAAAACCTTTCAAATGAAAGGACTGGTAAATGTGGTCAGGTGAGGGACAAAAGCCTTAGTTATTTTTCTGTGGCTTAATATCAAACTTACTGGTTAATAGACTGTGGTTATGTTATCAAATTTCTGTTTTCCAACCTCTGTTTCATATAACAAAGTAACTAATATGTGTCACTGAGCTCAAAAGAATATTTTTACCCTGTCTAAAAATATGTAACAACTGTGTGATATGCTTTTTGTGAAAGAATGCAATTTTTCTGACAAGTTGTCCCCTGCCTTGTATGTTAAACACAAATGTCTATCGCAGAGCTCACACCTATGGTGTTTATTGGCTTTTAGTGGACTGGCTGATTCGAATTTTGTATGATGTTACTAATGTGGTGTACTGCTAATAAGCATTGACAACATCAGAGAGACAGTTTCAGTAATGTGAGCTTTTGATACCACTTGCATCAACTCTGGGCATACTGCTGATGCAAACAGAATGCGAATGTGATTTCTCCACTTTCCCTTCTTTTCCCATTGTTGATCAATACACGATAACAGCAATCTGAGCTTCAGAGTGTTTTAGAGCTGCAGATCTTTCTTAAAACTCCAGTCAAGTTTTCAGTCTACTTGCTTTCTGTTTGCTGTTTTGTTCTCTAAAATATACCATCAATAATTTATTGCAGATTTCCAATAATGCTGAATAATAATGTAGCAGTTATGGAAATGCACTGTTTGGTAGCATAACAGTGTTTCTAGATAAATGCATTATCACAAGTACAATTGCAGTGCATAACAAATTAATTCAGACTGATTCATTTATAACTACTAAAATGTTAACAGTTCTGATATGAGCGTAGCTTTGATACATTGTTTACTACTGCCTTTGGTTTTTTTCAGCTTCATATGTGTAATAAATGAAATAATTTATTTCTAAGCTGTTGTGGATATCTTATTCACAGCAAACCATCTTTGCTGAATCTGGCCAAATGCAACAGCTGAAATATGTTAGATGTAGCATGTTGTCTTCTGTTATAATTCTTCTTATCTAATTAGATTTTGGATCTGGTGAAGTGTTTTTTAATTTTGTTAGCAATTAGATTTTTCATTTAAGAGTCTGCTTTGTGAATTTTATCCACCTTAATAGTGTAAGAGAAGGAAAAAAGTGTCTGCTGCTTAAAGTTGAAGTTCCTTTTCTGTACGAAACCTCTTTTTAAGTCAATAGCTAAGGGGAAATTACTTCACAAATATAGGGATAAAATCTTTATCTTTTGTATCTGTAATTGAACCTTTTGTTTAGTTTTGAATTATTTACCTACTAAGTCTTATGATAAAACAGACATTTACTTCAGCAAATTTGCAGAAGGCTCAAATTTGCTGTTGTTATTGCCATACTAAAGGGTTTTTTTCTTCTTTATAAATGGTTTGGTACAAATTGCTGATGGTAAAATCATTGTAAATGCTTTTCATGGCATGAATTAACGCTTCTTAAGGTGCTACAAGATTACCCTCATCATACAATATTATATACATATTACAGAAGTGGCTAATTTGAAATAAATATTAAATTGGATGCAGAACAGATACTATAAACCTCTTAAAATTGTTTTGAATTTGTGGTTGTTTCCTAGGATGTTCCTGCTTACAGTAGGCATGCATGCAAACTCTTTTTATGTCTGAGAACACTCATAGAGTGCTCTCTGCATATGTGTTTTTGGATGCAGATATGTGTGTATATAGCTATTTATAGCTATACTCAAAGACCATAACAAGCAGCGTTCCTCTGTATATCACAAAGATTGTGTGCACAATAATACTTTCTAATTCTATAATATGTTATATACTGAATACATAATTGTTTTTTTGTTCTTCGGCCTTCAGGTTTCCTGAATCTTGTGCTCTCTGTCTGTTCATTAGTTCCCCTCCCCTATTCTTGTTGAGTTTTTTGACCAGCTTCAGCCAAATTTAACAGATGGCTAGTGGTAATGTATGCTAAGGTTTCTGAAACCGGTTAGAGGAGAATAAACCTAAACCAAACTCAGGGGAAGAGTGCAGCACATCCAGTATTGGTCATCAGAAGAACTTAAGACAATGACCCAGTGATTTAAAACCCTGCTGATAGTGAACATCCTAAGAATGTTTTTTTCCTTCTCCCTAAGGTACTAGCCACTGTGTCAGCCTAGGCTTGCCAGGAGTGGAGTTGGAGGGACGAGTATTTACATTGGTGGATGCCAAATGGAAATGTTGTTCTGCCAGATGCAGTAACAACAGTGAGCCTACCAGACTTGCTCCATCAGAAAAAAAAAAAAAATATCCTAAGTTAGGTGAGGGTTTTTTTTCCCCATTATGATAAGCAGGAGATGGTATGGCTTATTCAGCATAAAAAGCAGACTGATGATCTAAAGAGGCTGTGATGTGGGGAGTTGTTTTCATTTTAGTCTTGACATGAAATACTTGGGAGAGCAAAATACCCCACCAAGAAAAAATACACAAAATGAGAATAAAAGCAAGAAATTTCCATCTGACTAGCTTGTGTTTACTCAAATGCAAAAGTATCTAGCAATCACCAGTCATCACTAAGTCATAAATATTTTATTTTGTATAAATTTTTTTACTTTTCTCCCTATTTTTTCTTTTTTTTTTTTAAGAGAACACTGCACTTCCTTGTGCTTTGCTTCATTTCATCCTTTGTTTAAAATGCATCTGTTTGTGATATGACTGTCTTATGGAAAGATGCAGTCATTTATTAGAAAACAGTTTAATGTTAGAATGCAGCGTTCCATCTCGCTATGTGTGAGCTAAACTTCATTATTCTGTGATGTTTATGTTTTCTTTTGTCAAAATATTGAACATTGTATCATGCCTGATTTTAATAAAGATTTGGTAAGCCTGGCTGGATAAGAGGCATTGAGCCAGTTGAGGAAGCCTTGTTTAATGACCAGACCATGACCTCATTTCACTGGCATAAGTGTAGATCAAAGTGGAAGATGCCTGTCCAGTGTGAAGTGTGTTTCTGGGCATGACAGCACTTCACATCAGAAAGACAGCTCAAGAATACGACAGTCAAAATTGCTTAATTATGTCCCAGCTTTGTAATTATTCATCCCTGCTTCTACAAAGAGTACAGTTGTCATTTCTTGACATAATTATTTAAAACTGTACCCTTCTTTGGTTCATAGGTATATGAATTGTGCTTCTGACTGTTTCATCTTTAAAACTTAGAGATGCAAAACAGAATGTGATTTGAGAATACATTTTAAGACTCCATATTTTTATGTTGCATGCGATATAAATAAATAAAGTGAAATTATGATGTATCAAAGCACATCATAATTTCATATTTTAAAGGTCTATATTCACGATCATTTAATCTAGGTGATAAAATGTGGTTATATCCATTATATTCAAAGTGTGTTGCTATGAAGAGATACACACTATCATAGGTCTCCTTAAATATAAATTTAATTGCTTAATACTGGGTCAGTGGACTTGCTTTTATAAAATACACATGTATTTCCCAGTGTTTTGCAAGCCCTCTGACAAGAACTATTTTTTAGCTTACTGCATTTTTAAGTTTAACATTTTTATCAGTTTTATTTATACTGGCAAAAGTAAGCAGTGTGCTTTGGGTGACACATAACAGCTTATAGGACCAAATCATCAGCGGGTATCCGCGAGTTTACTTCCACGTAACTGACTTAATATTACGTGGAGTTATTCTGCTTTCTTGCAACTTTACTAAAAGCGTCTTGCCTTGTCCAGTGGGTATAAAGGAAACACTGTACAACATAAGATGGCAGTATAGGTGTTATGAATACATTGTTTTAATCACAAGTTATAATTATAAAACCTGACACAGCATTTGTTCTCTAAGGGACTTAAGATGGAGACACTTAAGCAGAAAGGCAAGTCTAATATATGTGTTTCTTGTAATGAGTGTATGCGATTCTTGCTCACGCTGTTACTTGGAAGGTAGAGTGAGATTATTTTATTATGGTAGGAAGAGTAAATATTTAGGCAGTGCAGCTTAAGAAATAAAGTGAGCTAAAATCTACAGTGTTGCTTTCAGCTCGTTGTCGGTATTCATGTGTTTAAGCTGATAGGAAAAGCTCATAATCAAAGTGACTGATGCTGATATATGCTTTTTCAAATTCTATTAAAACCAGATGAGGCATAAGGAGTGATTTTTGTAATTTTTGTTTTTAACTGTTTAACAAGAATCATATTTTTCTTAAATAGATATATCCTATCTGCTTCCAAGAATTTAGGCAAAGCATTTTTGCTAATACATCTCACAGACCTTTTTCCCCACTTGCTAAATTTGGAAAATGGGGCTGGTTTTACAAAGTAAATAAAAGGTGACAGATAAACCTTTGGAGCATCTGCATTGCTCACGATCTTTTTCATTTTACCAGCACCATTTTGTAGAGATCTTGGCTTATGAACTTACAGCATTTGAAGTAGAGAGAGAGCAAAGGGCTTTTAAAGTGTAAAGAATCATTGTGTCAATGAACTGCTAGATAGTAAGATACCTCGTTGAGAAACCTTCTACATAAATAGGGTTTCTTATTGTCCAGATGTCAAGGTTTCGCGTACTAAACCAAAACAACGTAATGAATTTAAGACTCCAACCGAGACATCTTAGCAGTCATGCTACTATTTGACACAACGAAGTATCCATTTTGCTCTTTGGACACTTAAAGTATTTTAATCAAGAGTCTGTAACATGATTGGCTCATAATCTCCCAATGACTCATCAAAATTAGGAATAAAGAATAATTTGGGGAAAAAAAAAAAAAAAGCCAGATTTTATATTTCTATGTATGAACACTTTCGCAGTTTAGAAGAAAACATTGCTGAGTTGGATCTGCCAGATACAAGAGTGGTACTAGCTAGAACTAAGTTGACAGAGCTAAATT